AGATAAAATTCATGTCTAGAGAGCCCAGTCTACCCTATTATTTAACCTATATCTAATAGAGGGAAAGAGATAAATTTATACCTTTTCCAAGGTGATTAGTTCAAAGGCAACAAACAAAGTTGTTAAAGGTGTTGTGGAAATCCAAGTGAATACATTGAGCCACCTGCTTGCTATTCCCCTGCCCCCAAAAGAAGGAATTCCAAGAAGGCTTCCATCAATGAAAGCGATGCTGCATAAAGTGCATAGCTTCAGAAGGAAACTACTTTGAAGGAGATTAAATGTCAAACTGATATGTGTTGCAGTTTTCTTTTTATAGCACCAGTCGCGACATTTTTTGATTAGATCTTGCTATAAGACGGGGCTGAAGTAAAACTCAATAATAATAGGAAGTAAACATTGAGGACAGAAATCTCCAACACACAGCCTGTGGGTTGCGTATGGCTCACAGACTATTTTTCTGTGGCCCTCATGACCAATATTTCCCTCAAGAAATTTATTAGACTCATTAAAAGAGCTTGACCAGCCCAACACCAGACGGTCAATTGTAAGATCAGGTTAGGGTTCAAGGTCTTCTCAATGGAAGGGATGAAAAACTTAACCTCTTCAATCGTCATGTATTCTTCACCAGCTGCCTGAAAAGGGGCACAAATGTACTGTCTGACAATTTCAATCACTTTTTTTAATTTTATAATAATAAATAAATTTGGCAACTAATGTTAGGGAAAGCTGACACTTGGCAAATTTTTGCTCTGTCTCTCATCTGTGAATGTGATGTGAACTAATTTTAATGCAAGAAAATGCACTTCTACCACTGTGCCTCCTTTGGAGTTCATGCCTCCCCACTGGAGTTGATTCCCCACCCACTAATAATACCCTGTTGAAGGGCTTGCCTGTGGTCCACTGCACTTTTCCCTAAGCCCTTTTGTGCCCTTCAGTTTGAAACCCTGGTCTAGAAAGTCATCATCATCATCATCATCATCATCATCATCAGCCCCATGGCCGGGTGTGGCCATAGGGTCACTGTGTAGCTGAACACCTGACCAGCTCCCTCCATATATCTGGGTTGAAAACCAGGGAGGTATTCATTCATGTGCGGTGTATCTTGCACCAGCATACCTGATGGAGCCTATCCCTCTCCAGGTCAAATCACAGCCAATGACCTCCAGCTTTCAGGCTCACCTTGTTCACAGACACCACCCTGGCCACTGAGTTCAAGGAAGCAAATGAAAACCCTCTGCCCAGTGATACCATGTTATCACCATACTGGCTGCATCCATAGCTATGCAACTCAGCCTATCCTATTGTGAGGAAGAAGTTACCACCCCTCCACCACAAGAAAATCAAGCAGTGCCCTTTGAGAAGTTTTGGTTTTAATCCTACTGGGTGTGAACCTCACCAGAAAAGACTGGTGGAGGAAAAGTTTGTGTTGGGTTACATGTTACCAGCAGAATTTGGAGAGGGACTGGACATAAATAACAATATTATTAAACAAAAAAGTATTGATTTGTCAAAGGTAACAAAATCTGGTTTAGCTATCATCATTTTATGTATGAAATGATTTTTTTTAAAATGAAAAAAAATAAAAACAGAAAAAAATTCAGTGAAGGAATTGGTTCAAAGTGCAGATCATTTTTGCTTGAAATCAAAAGTTAATGAGCTTTTCTTTTTCCTCCTTACATCAGTTTCCAGGAATGTGAACACAAGAATCAATAATTTATTGAATATCATTAGAGACAAACTGAACTGCTATGTAATCTTTCTATGTGCCTATCTATCTGAATCTGTTCAGATCTATCTATCTATTTATTGCAATCTGTTTTGATCTATCTATCAGTCAGTTCAGATCTATCTGTCTATTTCAGTCTGGATCTATTTTTCTATCTCAGTCTGTTCAGATCTGCCTATTTCAGTTTGTTTGGATCTATCTATCTATCTATCTATCTCAGTCTGTTTGGATCTATTTTTCTCAGTCTGTTCACATCTATCTATCTAGCTAGCTAGCTAAATCAGTCTATTTGTATTTGGCTATCTCATTTTGTTCATATCTATCCAATATGTCCACTTTACACAAGTTTATCATCTTATCTACCACTTCTGATAATTTAAAAAATGAATGCAGACATTATACACTGTGTCACATTCCATTATTTAAGTTCAATTTTTTATGATAAATTGGTCTTAACCAACTGCTGTTGTTAAATGTTTATTATATACACTTCCTTATAGGAACAATATATCATGTGATAAATTATATTGGGGCTAAAAAGGATAGGAAATGAAAACTTCCTACTTCCTCATTGATTACATATTCCAGCCATGGTATTCTCAGCATCCTTCTGTAGAACCACATCTCTGTTACCTCAAGTCTCTTTTCTTCTTTATCTGTGAGTAAATTGTTCAGCATTCACTATCCTGTAGGAATACTGATATTACATAAGAGTTTAGCATCTTTTCTTATATATGTGTGCATCTATGTATTTATCATATATATTATAATAATCTGGAATACACATCGCCAACCTTGGTTACCAGTTTCTCACATGCTAATGCATGTAGCCAATAGTCAATCCGTACTGGTCAGTTCAGTGATATAGATATTTATAGTCACTCATTAATCTCAAGTTGTTATTACGAGTGTAGCTGATGCTCACCACAAGGTCCACAGTGTGTTTAGTTCCACTGATCATGTTGTATTTAATACTGTTTAGTTATTTCTATAACTGAGCTACTAAAATAGGAACTAGATGATATATTCCTAGATATGGGCAATGGAGCAAGAACAATCTATCCCTGTAGATTAAATAAAGTATTCAGTTTGAAATTCCCTGTAGGTTAGCCGGATTGACAAACACTTGCTGAAGGATAGAGGGCATAACAGCTAACAAATTGTGATAACAACAACAAAGATGAAGAAAATAGACTGTCTGTAAATAATGTAAACAGAGGTGCTGCCTCAATAAAGTCACCATGGAGAAAGCAATGAGAAACCACTTCACTATCTTTCCCAAGAATAATCATAGCAACTGACAACTCATATATAACTGACAATGATGTGAAAGGAGCCAGCTTCCTCGTAACTGAGTCCTTGTCCCAGTAAAGGGAGACATGTGGAACAGGTATTGCTTGATCGTCATTTAGTGGCTCTTAGCAACAAAGATAAGATCATGGTCATGATATATTGTATCAGAACATTTCAATACCAATGCAACAAGTTAGAAAATGGAAAAGGAAAAAAATGGAGAGGTTGAATATCAATATTCGAAGATTATCTGAAACGAGTTGGAAAAGCAACTCAGTGTTTAGAAATGATGATCACGGAATCATGAATGTTGACGGAAAGAGAAATGAAAACAAAGTCAGAGTAATATTGAAATGTCTTTTGGAACAGTTGAAAATATCAGAGTTGTTGTGAAAATAGAAGTGAAGCTATTTAACATGGCCATCATTGTAGTTGATGTACAGGACTAACTAGAAAATACCAGTATCTGTTTATATTTCTGAGATGAGGTATTATGTACATTATTTATATTATTCGGACTATTGTCCTCATCTTTGTTGCCATATTTATTACAACGTTTCGGCCATTGTACGCTCCGGCCTTCTTCAGGTGGTTGGAATGTCGAACTGAACCCTTTATTTCACTGACTGGGGTAGACTGTTCTAGTTCCACATGCCATATTTTTAATGGATGTCAGTTATCAGTTATCTCCTGTTGACTGGGAAGAAAGAGTTCGAAAAGTGAGAAGTGTGAGAGAAGAAACTTAGCATAGAACTTCTGGTTATATCTGGCAGCCATTCCAACTGTAAATTGATGAGATCTTGCCCCCAGTCTAGGACTGTGCTTAAATTCATAAAGTCTAGGTATCATAACAAAGAGCTCATCGAAACAATTACTATGTAAGCATTTATAGAAAAGATACAGGGAAGCTACATTTTGGCAATTGGAAAATGACTGAAGCCAAGATGCCAGGTTAGGAACAATAACATTGCAGATTCTTTAGATTTGATCAAGAATCTCTAAATATATAACAGTTATATATATATATATATATATATATATATATATATGTTATCTTTGAGTGGTAGGAATTCAAATATAGCAGATTATCATTCAAGAATTTTATATGGTCAGCGCAAAATAACAATTCAATTAGAATTTTAGAGAAAACAGAACTGTATTTTAAGAAAAAACAATAGCAACAGTAAAACTGATGCTTTTCATTGTTCATTTGACTTCAGTGTGAAAGAAAGTGGGGCAGACAGGCAAGAGAGAAAGTGGGTAGGCAGGAGAAAGTGGGGTAAGCAGATGAGAGAGGCAAACTGGCAAGAGACGGCGGGGGGTAGGCTATAGAGTGACAGCAGAGGGTGGGGAGGCAGGCAAAATTTCACATATATTCCAGCCATTTATGTTTAGTATGTACATCTAAAAAAAAAAACAATTTACACATAATTTTTAAAAAGAATCATCAAATCTCTAACTGCATGTCACATGCATCAGTTAATGTCGGACACGTCCATCAGCATCAGAATTCATGATGCACGATGATTGGAAACCCTAAAAACATGCCTAAATGCTAACCTCCCAAGTATGGATATGACTACAGAAAGCAAAAGTGAATGTCTAAGATACAATACAACAAAATCTGGAATCAGACAATTTATAAGCAAACATATTCAGTTGTAATGTTAAGTGTCATATTCCATGCTAATAGGAATATATACTTGAAAAACAAGGTGGATAAAATAAGTAAAGGTTTATTGTAAAAAAAAACAGTACATTAAGAATAAAGGTAAAAGTTATGCACATGGTCATGAAAGTCAATCCAGTAGTGAGTACCACGAGGGTTGCATGTGGCACAAGGTCGGGTTAACCATGGGTTCTCCGAGCCCTTAGGCTCGGCCAAATGCCCATAGAAGCCACATAATGGGATCGGGTTGATCAACCTCCCCGAATGAGACTCTGCCCTTCAGCTGAGCCTCGTCCGGGTTCCTCTCTGCTCAGAGGCAGAGAGTTCGACTGTGTAGCTGGAACAGGTCACAGCTAGTCTCTGTAGTCTGTTGACTTACAGATACTTATAGGTAATTACTACTTATAGTCTAGTCACTCATGGGGGTGAAAGTTTATTCCATTATATCATTAAGGACCAATTGTATCAGTTGCTTGGTCTGCTGCTAGTAAGTTTGTTTACTGTGTTATACTCAACAATTTTTCTCACCAGAATCTATATTACAATTTCTAAGTCTACCATTCATCCATGCATCAAATATGGCTGCCACATTTAGCCGAGTTCTTCTGCTGTGTTTAGAGATTCTTGACAAAATCCAAATTTGATACGGTAATGTCATAAGTTCTGACCTGGCATCTTGCCATAAGTCACTTTACAAATGGTTGTAACATAACTTCTCTGTCCCTTTTCTTTCTTGCATTAATATCCAACTCCTTACAATCTTTTTCTTTCTGATTTAAAATGCATTTCTATAGTAAATATTTAAGCATTATATACATAATAGCATTATTCTATCAGTAACACTCAATATCTGACTCCTTACAAACTGTTTCTGATTTTTAAAGCTTTTCTATAGCAAATATTTTAAGTATTATATATATATATATGTATAATAATAGTATTATTCTATCAATAAGTCATATTAATATCAGACTCCTTACAAACTATATTCAGATTTAAAATGCATTTCCATAGTAAATATTTAAGTATTATACATATAATAGCACTATTCTATCAGTAACACTTGTATTAATATCTGACTCCTTACAAAACATTTCTGATTTAAAGTGCATTGCTATAGTAAATGTTTAAGTATTATGTTTTTGATTTATAAAACATACTATAGCAAATAAATATTATACATATAATAACACTATTCTATCAGTAACACTCATTAATATCTGATTGCTTACAATGCCTTTGATTTCAAATGCATTTCCATAGTAAATACTTAAGTATTATATATATTATAGCACTATCCTATCAGTAACACTTGCATTAATATCTGACTACTTACATTCCTTTTCTTTCTGATTGAAAATGCATTTCCATAGTAAATATTTAAGTATTATACATATAATAGTACTATTCTATCAGTAACACTTGTATTAATATCTGACTACTAACAATCCTCTTTTTCTGATTTATAATGCATTTCTATAATAGCATTATTCTATTAACTAGTATTAATATCCAACTCCTTACAATCCTTTTCTTCTGATTTAAAATGTATTCTATAGTATACTAGCTGAGGTTGTCGGTGTTGCCCGGGTATACATAGATGCAATTGTATAACCACACCCACCTGTATACCCACACCCTTTGGTCTAGAAATGTCTGCCTGCATCCCCACTTGCATGTATCATCTGTTGGTATACTAAGCTATTCCCCACCCCACATCTCATTTTTTTTACAGTATATCCTTTGCAAGTTCTTAATAAAGGAATTCCATCAATAAAAGCTTCTTTGGTCTTTGCTTGGGGTTAAATTGGTTTAATATTTTAGGTATACAGTAAGTTTCCTATGGCTGTAATAACTTTCAAATAGTATGGCATTGTTCACAAATCTAATAAACAAAAACAGGGAAAAAACTGGGGTTAATAAGAGGCTCTTTGAGAATTTTTCCCTTTTAATGCTTCAATAATCCTTTTCAAAGAATCTTTACATTGAATGTTGTTTGAATACCAATTTAGGATGGAATCATATGAAGAAACTATTGACTAAATGGCAAAAGCTGATTTTTGACCAAGCTTATCACAGATTTCGTCCACTTAACTGAAAAAATCTAATCTAAACATTCACTCAAGACAATTTGTGTGTCATACATAATTTACATGGCAAATTTGGAAAGCATCAAATGAAAAACCAGAGAGTTATGCCCAAAAAACAGGCTTTCTGAACAGTTTTTCGGGTTTTTTCATTATATGCAGGGAAGCAAGCAGGACTAAAACCACACTATCTTATTTTTTTCATGATGGTAAATTTTTTGTGACATGTTTGAAGAAAAACTGATAAAAAATGAGCAAGTTATTCAAGTTTGTATTTTAAGTAATATGAAAAGCCTGATTTTTCATTTTTTTACTATTCTTTGTATGAATCCAATGTTGCGGCAAAACCATCAAGCACTCTACAAAAACCTTGTAACATGAGCTATGTTTTGCATTAAGTGAAAAAAACATCAGCTCAACCAGTAAAAATTTTGTTTGTAACTTTGTCTTTGTTTTTGCAAAAAGTTGTACCCCCCTTCAGTTATATGAATTTTTCTGCCAGACCTGGAGATTGAAAAGTTGGTCTTGACCTACCTTGAAAATTTGTAACATGTGTACAATCAAAATCGGTCGAGAAATGTGGACATACATAAATAGCATACATACACACAGACATCTTGTTTTACAGATATAGATTATTAAGTATATATATATAATAGCACTATTCTATCAGTGACATTTACATTAATATCTAACCCCTTAGAATACTTTTCTTTTTCCTTTAAAATGCATTTCTATAGTAAATATTTAAGTATTATATATATGTAGCATTATTCTATTAATAACACTTGCATTAATATCTGAGTCCTAACAATCCTTTTCTCTGATTTAAATGCATTTCTTTAGTATTTAAATATTATAGAACAGCATTATTCTATCAGTAACACTCACATTAATATGACTCCTAACAATTTCTCACTGATTTAAAATTAATTTGCATAGTAAATATTTAAGTATAATATATATAATAGCCCTATCCTATCAGTAACACTTGCATTAATAGCTGACTCTTGGCAATGTTTTAGATATTGCTTTTTGGAATCTAATTATAAGAATTTTGCTAAAGAAACCAAAAATGTAATACTTTTTTTTGTTAACTAATTTCTCAAAATAAAAAAAGTGTATTTATCAAAAAGAATTTTTTTTCTTTTGAGAAATTAGTTGTTTATAGAAGAAATATAATTGAATTATAATTAAAAAGATTTTGTATTTTCCTGGCCTTGTTCCTAAAAGCCTAACTAGTCATGTCCAACTAATGTTCTTATACATTTCCTGTCTCTCTTGACTCTAAATCTGTCCTGTGAGTATCAGATTTTCTAAGCCATCTTTCCTCATTATGTGTCAACTGTTTCTTTCTGATGTTAAGTAGAAGTGTCGGTTCTGTTTCCATTTTCTCTAAAACTTTGTCATTGCTCACAATAAAAATTTAAAAAGCATTATAGACACTGACCTTATATAGTAGCATGTATTATTGCATCAGTCAGACCGCATACAAATCCATTATAAAAGAATTCAGGAAAACAGGTTCAGTTTATTCCATATATTTCTCCAGATTTTTACAATTTTGCAAAAAAAAAACAAAAAAAAAAACAAAAAAAAAACACATAAATATCATATTTTGTATTTCTTAAATTTTTTATAAAAATGTCATATTGAAATCAGTTGCAAAGAAAGTTTTCGTTTTTAATGAAGAACACAAAACATCTTTCAACTTGTATAAGGAAGTGTTGCGTTTTAGTGCGACCACATTAACATTCTCATCCCAGACATTGGGAAATTTAATAATAGTGCATATATATATATATATATATATATATATATATATATATATATATATCTCATCCACTGCCAAAAGTTAGATTCTTAATAGAATTAAATAGTAAAAGCTTTTCATTACATGAATTAGTTTATTACATGTCAACAATACAAAATTGATCTCCCACTTATGGGCAAGACAAAAAAAAAAAGCACCCTTATATTTCTATGCTCAAAGCTTAATTCGACCCACTAAAATTGTGTCTGCACATGTGTATGTGTGCGCCAACTGGTAGGACAATTTTGTTTTACATATTTCATTTAACAAAAAGATAAACTTGCTTTTATTTCTTTTAATATGTTTGTATGTACATATATTATTGTTTGTGGAGTTATTCTGTTTTCTAAGAATTTATCTCCAATTCGTTTGTACTTGATTTTTTTGTTCAAATTTTCATATAATTTTGATATACAACTTGATTTTTTTAAATCTTAGCTTTAATGTTAGACATGAAATACAAACGATTATATGCCTTTTTCTTTCATTTATGGCGTTTTTAATGGGAGGTTTAATAAAGGACACAAGGAACCATTTCTGAAAGTGACTAAAATGCCAAAATGTCTTATCCTTTCCACCTTCTGTAAAAGAAGAGTGTGTTTATTGTAGGTTCTTCCTTTATTTTCTGTCATTTCTATATAGATCAGTTTTTTTAATAAATTCTTTTAGATGCAGATTTTACCCAATTATATGAGTTTTTGTTGTACCAGATGAAGTGCTTGAGACAGCTGCTTAACCAAATTTAGTTACTGTCTCGAATAAAAAGAAATTTAGAAATGTTTTCATTCATTCCTACCCTAAGTTTGCACATTATAATTTCAATGCATGGAAGCTTCTTTTTTATTGCCGACTAGAAACTCAATTTGTAAGTTTACTTTTGACTTATATTTTAACAGAAGTTTCCTGTAGAAGAATTTCAACCCTTCTCTCAAAAGGTTTTGTATATCTTTTTGAATAGGGTTCAATATCAGACAAGCTGTCAGAGTTTGGCAGCTTTATCTGAAATGTTTAATGCTGTTAGAAGTTTGAAATAAGAAAAAACTAGCAATACAGAGCATAGTATTTGGGGGTCTTTTTGTTAGTCCCTACCAAATCAAAGGTTTCATAGTCAATGGGAATTGATAAGTTTATTTACTTGTTTCTTAATTAGGGGTTCTATGGTAGGGACTAAGACAAAAGACCATTTGAGGGACATTTTTTTTGGAGGAAAAAAAAAAAGATCAACCAAAGTAGTTATTTGTGTAATATACACACTTATGACTTGGGTTAGAAAATTCTGACGGGAAAAAAATGAAGCAATTTTCATGTATAATATGTGCCAACATTTTAGGCAGCTAAATTTAACTTTAATTTTATCTGGTTCATACTGACTAAAAATAAGAATTTATATAGCTTTTTGAAACCAAAAAGTTTATGGTGTCTGGAGCAAACATAGAAATGTGTTCATACAAAAATGCAAAAAGCTTGTGGGTAAAGTAAGCTCATGTGTGAAGAAATAAAATTATAAGCAAACACACATCATTCTAATGTCTTTTTCTCTGTAGTGGCATACACACAACTGAAGCAGACATTACTACTCTGTTCTGAAGGAAGGTCTGTGTGGATGACCTTGATAAGAGTGAAGATGACAAAGACATCTACTACAATGCTGACAACAGATGAAACTCTCATGACATCTGCCTGTCTTTGACACGGACAGCAGTGAAACAGACTAAAATGTTTAATTTGTATGTGAATAATTAAAAAAAAAATTAAAATAAATGCAGTGTTTTGTTAGTAATTTTTTTTTACTAATTATTCACCCAATACAAGCCCCATGAGCCATTCAAGGTAGAGATTATTGCTTGTAAGAGGAAGAAGTAATTAGTGCAGTTTCATAGGATATGTAGGAAAAGTATCATTCAACCCTAGAATTAATGAGGTTAAGATTTGGGTCACCCAAGACCTCAAGTAGAACTCCTATGGACAAATGATTAGGTTAGGAATGACCCCCCCCCCCATCAATATTGGAAAGCGTGATAACATCTACTGAACTTGGAAAAACCTAATTTACTGAAAAATTGCTTTAAGAGACAGACTTTAGAAATTTTAACTGAAAGCAGTACTGGCAACTCAGTCAATGAATTCTAAACATTTCCTTGTAGGGAAATGGTTATTATCATAACCATTGCTAAAGATGCTTGGAAAATGGTCAGTTCCTTGTACTGCTCCAGTAAGTACCCAACTGCTAGGCTCCATCTTTACAAGCGACAAATCAAACCAAAAAATAGAGTACTGCTGCCATATATGTGCTGGAGCTACACAATCCTCACTTTTCAGCCTTGATAGAGTTCAGAAGCATGTTTCATAGGATGATGAAGTATTTTTAGCTACAACCCCGATTAGCTTAGATTATGGATATAATTTACTTTTGGTCATACTGTTCTAAATATAGCAATATATATGGCTGGGGAAAAAAGTTAATATTTAGTTCTTGTGTATAATATGCACCCTTAACTTTTAGGCATAAAAATCTGAGGAAATTATTGGTATTATACACAGATAATTAGGTAATCTTTTCTTTTTAAGCTTCTATCAATTGAAATTATGAAAATTAGTTTTTAGTAGGAATTGACAAAAAGACCCAAAATCCTATATTAAATTACTTACATCATTCTCTTGTATAAGTTTTAGATTTTTTTTTCATAGATTTAGATTAAGTAAGCTTTAAATTTGTATTTTTTTTTAGATTTTATAGAATTGTATTAAGCAAAAACTTTAGATTTGTTTTTTTTCTTTAATGTATACTAAAATAATGTATTTTGTATTCCTTTGTAATTTTTTTTTTTTAGATCATATTATATTTGATCTTAAAGAAAATCTGTTTCTTCATCTGAAAAATTCTTCTTTGGCATATTTATATTTTGTCTATTATTTCTTATGATGTGCCAAATAGAATATTTACTCATCTTGGCTTAGTATGGCTCAATTATATTCTAAGTGTTGTTTCCATGCATAAAAGAATTTTTGCTGTGTCTGCACCTATTTCAATGAATACTGTTTAACCATAGGATAAAAGTAACTCTGAGAAACATTAGATGATCAATATTTGATTAACAAAAATGTGATCCAATTTTTTTGTTTATATTTCAATTTTCTTGTCTTTTAATGAAAGAAAATGACACATCGTCTGGTTTGCCACATTTATGGCAGAATAGACAAAGCATTTGCAATATCTGACGATCATAAAAGACTGCCTAAAAAAATAGTTCATAAAAAAAAACTGACAAAGAGTAACATTTCAAGAAAACTGAACTAAAACAGCAAAAACAATATTTGTACATAGGAACATATGAAAAATACAGTTGAACAAAGTTAAACTACAATTAAACCAAGAATATTTCTAAACCAGATAGAAATCCCTAAATATTTTCCGAGTACCATCATCAATAGCGAAACCAAAAATATGTTTAAACCACGGTCCTTTAAATTTTAGTTTAAACATGTTCAACTGTGATAAAACAAGTTTGTTCAACAAAACGTATATATGCGTATTAAGTGAATCTTCTTCATTCATCGAGTATAGTAGACTCGATAGTAAAGAGTTTTAGAGCGCCAGAGGGAGTATGAATTGTCAAACTTAAGGAGGTATACTCCGCGTCCTGGGTAAGAGTGACTGCCACAAAAGATCTCCTCATGTGAGTCACGTCGATAGACAGGAAGGATTTCATCTGTTGGCGGGCGGTTTGGTTTAGGATTGCTTGGCATGCCAACTTCAGGATCAGTTTTGTTTGCATCTTCTTCCTCGTCAAGTTCCTCCTCATCACTGGAATCACTTATATGAACACTTACTGTGTTGCTTGGGGCAACGGTCCACTCAAAATAGATACCAAAACCAATATCGTAGTTGTCTGTGGTAAACTCCCAAAATAGACACGATCCATCTTCATGAGTTGGCACTCGAACCGTGACAGTCTCCCCGGAACCGACTTTCAGGATGCAATCTTTTTCATTTTTCAGGGATGCTTTTAATTCCTGGGGGTCTTTCCGCGTCCATATGGAGGCTGCGGCCAAAGGTGGAAGGTCGGATAATTCCCCGTTTTCTCCAATCTCGGTTGAGGGCTCTTCTCCTTCTTCTTCAACTTCTCCTTCATCTTTTTCTGTCTGTTCCTCCTCTTCTGTTTCTGGGGCAACTGGAGTTACATTCACGGGTTCCTCTTTTTCTTTGTGTCCGGTGCCCGGTTCTTCCTCCGTATCATTGTTATTGATATTGTTATTGTTGTTCATATTAGGTACTGTAGATTGGCTCTCGTCGTTGTCAATTTTTTGCGTCATTGACTGCATCTGCATGAACTGTTGTTGTTGGTGAAGAAGTTGTTGTTGATAAACTTGCTGCATATATTGTTGGAAGTGTTGTTCTTGGAGTTGTGCTATTAGTTCTTGTTGTTGTTCTTTATTTTTCGGAATTTGTGATTCGGCGTATTGTTGGAATTGAATTGCTGTCTGTTGGTTCAGCGCCGCCCGTATTTGCATTTCTCGTTCCAACTGACGTTGTCGTTCGAGTTCTTGCTGAAGTTTGGCCGCTTCTTCCATTTCTTTTCGTTTTTGTTCTTCTTCTTCTTCTAATCGCCTCCGTTCTTCTTCTTCCTCTTTGCGCCGCTTTTCATCGCGTTCAGTCCGATGTGCCTGGATGAAAGGTTTTAAGAGTGGACAAAGACGATCAAGCATTTTCACAAATTCTGCCATGGCGCTTTCACGCGACATATCCCCCAACGATTGCCAGGCTTGCCTTCGGTCGTTACCAACCACATCTAGAAGTCCAACCTCAGGGAACACGTCAGTCCGATATTTGCCATGGGCCACTTGTTTCGTATATGCCACGAGTTTTAACTTATCTTTGTAAGTAAGGTGCATCGCTTTGCCTTCCTTTTCTTTGAAGAACTGCAAGGATAATCGATAAAGTTCGTCGAGGTCGAAACCCCACCGGTTGCCATTAGTTTCCATGATAGTTGCTATTCAGATGGGCACAAGATAGATGAAAAACAGTGCAACTAAAAAACTCTTTTTTTCCGTCAAAGTCGGCAGAACATCGCAACAGCCATATTGAATACGAAACAAATGCGTTACTTATGGACGACAATCTCTTTAAAAAATCAGATTTTACTTTAAAAATATGTATTTAAATATTAAGCAGAATTAAATTTATAAAGATTACTCTAATTTTACTTTTGGTTCATAATTTATAATATTTATACGTCATCTACTGACTTGTCCGAAGTTTCGTACCATGAAGCACATAGATTTTTCATTTTGTCTTACATGTAGTGATATAAAAGAAAACTGCCTATACATGAATTAAATAATACTTAGCATAAAATTACTGAGAAAAACTGAATATACCATAAAATAATGATAATACTATAATTGTAGTTTCGTATTTTCCTTCTTCCTGTGAATTTACTTCCGCCCGGCATGCAGACTGAGTAATGCCAGACGACAGAAATGATTTGAATAAAAAAAAACCGCTGTAGGTAATTTACTTTCTAAATTGAATGAGATTTTCCTCCTACCTAATATTAAAATAACTTCCACTTATGTATCTTGTAAATTTGTATCGTATATTATACGATTTTTTTTTTCTGCTCACGGACTGTTTTTGGAGATTGCCAGCTAAGTGCCTAGCAAGTGAGGCTTGTTAACTCCTAAATTTAAGAAGACAAAAAAAAAAAATAGGTAAATAAAAATGATAACTTTAAAACTAAAAAGTGACCTTATTTAGTGTATGGATAGTTTTTACCTTTTGAACAAAAAGGAAACAACAATTTTTTTACCCAACCTCACAAAAAGAAAAAAAAAATTAGTAGTCGGAATTTGTAAGTGAGGAATGCCTTGCTATTCGGACTAACAATTATTATCACTAAAAACCAACTGTATATCATATTTATTTGCTTTAGTAGTGATCTTTTTATGTAAGTAAATGTTAATTTATTAAGTAAAAAAAGCGGAACAGACCGTGTAGTTTATATAGTTATGTAGTAGATGGTAGTAGTCTAAGTAGTACGAAATTGTTTTCATTTTTATTTTAGTTTAGTTTTTAGTTCCACTAATTGCACTCACTGTATTATTATTATTACCACCTTTTCCTGTAGGAAAAAATGAAACTAAGTAATTTTGTAATTATGTACTTATCAAAAAAAAAAAATATTCAGAATCTTCAATGGTTTGACTACTATTCCGTTTACCGGGCACACAGCAATCAACATTTTATTTTATGAAATAATTCTACAATTTTCACACAAGTTTTCCTAGAATAATTGTACTAAGTCAACTAATGTTTTGCAGCTAGTTATTCTATGTTTCACCTGCACAAATTTATAGTGTACTTTATATACCCAGTAACAAGCTTCTAAACTGCCGCTTACCAGCGTGCCCGGTAAACGGGAGTGAATCCTATTCAAGTTTTAACTTATAAAAATTTAATTAATAGCTAAAAATTTTATTTTAGCTTCATAAGGAAAATCCAATGTATAAAGATAAATAAATTTATCAAGTGATTTTTTTTTTTTTTTCTTTTGTGTTTTTAAAAAAAATTCCATATCTCTTCATAGGCGATCATAACTCTCCAGTCTCCACAGATTCCTTTTTTCTTTTCTGTGTCCCTTCAGGACGGGGGCGATCTTGGTTCTCCATAATTTCCTATCCTTTGTAGATCTTAATAAACTTTTATTTTTTATTTTTATTTTTTGCTATCTCTGCTAATCCCTGTCCTGTCAACCATACTCGAGCTCGTTAGGCAGGGGTTATACACTGTGTTCCTCTGTCCCTCTTGCTTTTATGTCCTGTCAGTGTCAGATTTTCTGAGCTCTCTTTCCTCATGTGTCCTAGAAATGTCAATTATCTCTTTCTGATTCTAAGTATGTGTCTATTTTCTTCCCATTTTTTCTAAAGCTTTGTCATTGCTCACATGTTCAGTCCATTGTATTCTCAGCATCCTTCTGTAGAATCACATTTCTGTTATCTAAAGTCTCTTCTTCATCATTGATGAGATTTTCCAGCATTCACTGCCATATAAAAGGAACGATATTACATATAAGTTAAGTATGCTTTTCTTTGTTTCTAACAGGATTTTCCTTAACTTCTCAAGAAAGATAGTGGACTGGTTTCCCTGTTGCCTTCTCTAAAGTTTTGATTTAGAGTCTTCCTTCTCCTATACTGGATGCCATCCATGGCTACAGAATGCAGTCTACTCTCTAGCTAGAGGAAGAAGAGGTGGATTCATGCCTTACCCAAGTGCATTAGTGTGGATGTGAACTGCTGAGCCTATCTTCTGTTCCAATAACCATTATGCTACACAAGCATCTAAAATTTTCCCAATTATTACAATCTACAAATGGTTTACTCTAGACCCTTCAAGTCTAGAGTTAACCATTACCTTTCCTGCATATCCCCATGAACTTCATTTCTTGCCACTTCTTATACTTGTATAACATCATACAGTAAGCCTCTATTTTGAGTGGCTCTTAGGCATTGTATTGAGTGATAATCAGTATAAAAATATTTAAATTAAATGACCTATTCTACTACATCAACAAAAGTGTCTACTACATACAAATGGACATCTGGTGATGCAGATATATATACACTATGGTTCAAATGTTTGAGAAAAACCCCTGATAATTTTTTAAATTGGCCCAAAAAGTAAGTGTTTTGTACTTTAAATAAGAGAAAATTATTATTCATGGTTAAAAAAAGTGAGACATGATTTTTTATTAGAAATTTTATTATGACAAAGAAAAAAAGCTTTTTGTGATTAAATTTTGTTCTTGTCAAAATATCCTCCTTTAGCCTTGATTACTGCAGCACAAATTTTTGGCATTCATTGCAAAAGTTTCTCAAAGTATAAGTTTAATAATTGATTCCTTTCTTTTTTCAATGACTCTAAGAATTCTTTTTCAGTTTTTTTCACTCTTTCATCAAGTTCATCCCATGCTAATTCTGGGGGTGGCTTTAAATTTTTGAACTGTAGTGTATGTATGTGTGTGTGTGTGTGTGTGTGTGTGTATGTGTGTGTATGTATATATGTTTCAACACCATAAATGTATCTCCTTGGGTGATGTTAAATTACTGGCGAGTGAAAGATTAATTTAATTTCAAAAGTAGAATACTTTAAAAAATAGGCTTGTGGGCTTTGCTGTGATTGACTAATCAAAAGTGACCTATGCTAAATTCAAATTTACCAGAAAAAGTGTCTGCCTATAAAACCTAGACATTTTCCTTATGGGCAGATACACGTTGGTATGTTATTTTGTAAGATGTATTGAAGTCTGTTCAACTTTCCTAAGAAATAAAAAAACAAAAAAGGTGGGGAGGTCATTTAACATAATACTAACTAGTTACATGCTTGTTCAGCTTCTTACATAAAATTTTGCAGTCTGAGGAGATGCATTTGTGGTGTTGAAACATAATTGCCATTATGTAGCGATTTTTAAAGTTTTAATATCCTAAAATAAATAATATTTAGCTGTATTCTGTTTTGCGCCCTCTTTTAAATTAAATGTTACGTACAGTAGAATTATACTCCATTTGTTCTCATTTTACCTGGATATATATATATATATATATATATATATATACACACACACACACACACACATTCATACTTGTGTACAAGCCAGCTTCATGTATAGTGTGATCCCTGAATTTTTTTCATGAATTTTAACCTCTCCAGAAAATAATTTACTTGTGTATAGTGCAACCAGTCACTGAAAATGCATGATTTTTAACCTCCTCAAAACTGATCATAAAAACTTGCACTATACTTGATGATTGTTTTTGTTTATGGGTGATTGAATGTCAAAATCTAAATATTTTCTATGCAATTTTTATTTTATTTTTGTGAGATAATAATGGCTTAATGATACAAGTCTTACGAA